CTCAACCCACTTATGGCGTCGGGTCCGGGAATCGAACCCGGGCCACATTGGTGGGAGGCGAGTGCTCTCACCACTGCGCCATCCCTGCTCCCCAAATATGGCGGTGTGCGTTGAAGAAATTATCGAGCGTTTGCGGGAAACCATAAATTTAGCTCGCGGTTTACGGTTTTTGCGTGTTTTTGTGGCGGTCATTCAAACAGAGTTAAGAGGCTGACAAGAAAGCCGTCAAAACTTGTACTTTTACTGCTCGAGTAATCCTTGTGAACAGCCATAAGACTGAGAAACACGACTATTGAGCTCATATATCGTAACAAATTTGCTACGTACTGTTAAAAGATCGGTTATGATAATCGTTCTACTAGTAGGGCGGTTTCTGTTTTTAGAAGAAAACGAAAGCGGTCTGCGGTTTCGAAGGAACAAAGTACATAAATGTTATTGAATTAGTGTGAGGTCCATATTGAAGAAATATTGGTCTCGTTCTTTTTTTGCTGGATTAAGGACAGAGCCGCAAGCGAGGTCCATAATTTTGCAAAAAACGAACGAGACCAATGTTCTCCAATGCGGACCGAACAAGCTAGTTCAATAAAGTGTTTAATTATAATTATAATGGCTCTATTTAATATGCCGATAAACTGATGCGTACCCGCGATCCTTTCCGGTAAGCGCCCGCGCGCGAAAGGTAAGCATTTATTTACGTTTCTCACGTCGCTTTTGTCAGCATTAAACTGAAATTGTCCTCCAACCATGAAGGTAAAATAATTTATACTTAGGAAAAAATGGTTTATTTTGTGTGATGAATTAAAAACGCAATTTGCCGAAATCAGTTCGCGAGTGGTCCATCTTAGTGGTTTGTCTTACAAAATTCGGACCGCTCAGGGAACCAATCAGAGTTGTCCTCTCACCCAGGACCGGCTCAGCGATATAATAAGGTGGTTTACGGAAGTGGATTACAGATCTTCAAATTTGATGTAGTGAAGGATGCCAAGAAATGAAAGCTGTCATTCTGGTGAAATCGTGAAGCTTTTAGTTAGCTTTTGGAAAAAAAAAAACGTTTATATACAGTTATTAAATACTGAATCATTCGATTGTGTAATTCAAGAGTTTTTATTGTATTGGCTTAGCCATCATGGTATATGAGCTATTATACCATGTTCTACAAATATGGTAAAACATGCTAATTGTGCCCGTATTTTTTTTTTTGTTTTTTGGGAAGGGGGGCGTTTTTATTTTTATTTCAGTTTAGTTTTCTATATTTTGGAGGCGTTTTTGATAAAACAATTATTCCACTCACACTTGCTGGATATGAGATGATTATAGCCCACTGGGCGCTACGCACCTCGTTGGATATCTATCATTTCATTTCCAACGCGCGCTCGTGGAATGATTGTTAATTATACTCTGCCAAATATCAGCACAAACGTTCTATGATCTTTATCTGCCATTTTATTTGATATTGTTATTTAAATATGAAGCAATCTGAATTGATGTGTTGATGTGGTCATAATCAAAGCATTCGGTTCTTCAGATTCATATGAACATAGATACCCACAGAAGCTCAGCTTTATATAATTTAGCGTAAAACCTTGATGAGAACGTGTTCTGTAGCTTTGTAAGTTGAGTGTTGTTTGTCATTATGCTATTCTGCTGTTTCCTCGACGTTCCACTGGCAGGGGCTGGGATAAGGAAATGGTAAGGGGTACGACTATAAACTACACGGACTTTTATTTTGAAATGGAGAGTTCTGCAGTATTTATGAGAAATGGTTGTAACCCCTTGCATAGCAGGATGGGAAAGAGCTAAAAGAAATTCCCTACCTGTAACCCTGACTTTATGTCCATAGAAATCCTCCCAGGAACTCTCATCTTTTCTTTCCAGTTTTACTCCACTCTCCCTTCTCCTCCCCGGTGAAAGACACCTGGAATTGAGGAGCCTGGTCACGTGGATAGATGTTGTTTCGTTATTGGCTGTTTCATAACTCTTTTGGCATTCCCCAGGGCATTGTTTCATGCGCCAAATGATTTGCTTTACATGAAACACCGAACACGTTTTGCCTGCAATCTTGCGTTGGCCCCAAATCAGTCCATAGCTTATACCCAGTTCTTTGTTGTTTTGTTTTCTAGCGCGGACGCCTTGGACGCCTTCTTGAAAAGGAATCAACTCACCCACGTAATCAGGGCGCATGAAGTACAGCAAGCTGGTTTTCAGGTTAGTACATAGAAGTAATTTCTTCACCTAAACAGAAGAATCACGTGTTCTTATTGCTTAAGGTATGACACTAATGACTCTGATAAAGTAATGGGAAGAGAATAGACTGGTGACCATTTCAGCCAATTTCTAATAGTGCAGGCGTCAATTGAAGGCACGACTTCTGCATTGTCAATCTTAACAGCCAGAGAAAATCTGTGGACGGATTTGAGAAATCGCATTCTCGACAGCTTTTTCTGGATTTAAAAATAGGCTTAAGAAAAAACAACCAATTATTTCCCTGTCAAGCTTAGATTACAAGAAATCCCACAATGTTGTGTGTGCACGCGTTCGTGTACTAATAACGGGAGAAAATTTGTACAGCTTCTGCAATAAGGATGCGCAGTGCTGTCGTTTGGATTTATCTTAAGCCCCTTCTCCCTTTTTCCTATAACTAGGCTTCGACTTCTTTAGAACTTTGGACGCTTTGGACGCTATTCAACCAAACATTCCGGTACTTTCGAAACGGCAGCAAATGGTACAGACATTTCCTTGGAAAGTTTCCGGAAACTTCGAACGCGAACCTTTGGAAATCCCGGGAGGAAATCAAATTGTCGGCCGTGGGGGAAGTGGTATACCAATATACCTGAAAAGGAAAACCCATTATGCCCCAAATTACCCCTCAGATTCATGCGGAATACCAAAATTTGGAAAAGCGTGGTATACTTTATGTCCATAAAAGGCCCAATTCTGGCGTCAAAATACCGTATACTCTATTGAAAATCCCCCTGTGTACTGCATATCCAAAAAACCTGGTCGACCCTGAGGTAAGAAATGTTCCAAAATTTGGTTATGCCTGGTCAGGTTGTCCTCTTTTCCGGAAATTCCAGAAAATATTGCTCCATTCGCCACTGGAAATTTCTAGGAATTCAAGCTGGAATTTTTGGCGAAAGTGCTCTGCATTTGCAAATCTAGAGAAAAGATTCGGAGATGTACTTCTACAAAGTTTCGCTCTTGCTTTCACTGTTATTACTTACCAGGTTCAACAGAACGGCAAACTGCTGACTGTGTTCTCGTCGTCGCAGTACTGCGGGGGTTCAAATGAAGCGGCCTGCATCCTGGCACATCAAAACAAACTGCGCACAATCCGACTGGATACCACGTGACCAACATTACACAGTTTGCATAGGTACCCAAGTTCAAAGAATAATGGATACTGCCCCGTCGTTGAGTTTTGAATTGTTTGTGGGTTTTATTTAAAGAATAATATTCAATAGAGTGAATTATTTATCTAAAAGAATATTATTGCAAATGGTGTTTAAATTAAGGTCGCATTTTTAACGTCGTGTACCTCTTAATTATAGTTAAAGTTGTAAACTTTATTAGGCACTGTAACGGCTGCCTAAATGATAAAATCACTATATAGTCGTTTTTGTAACATCCGAACTGAAGGAAACGTTAGAAAATAACTTAGGTATGAGAATTTTACAAGAGCAATGATTATCGACGGTTAAGATTTGGACTGGATACAAATCGTGTTCTTGGTATTAGACTGGAACTAGCTTGCAATAGAGACTCATGCTCATTGCCTGATTTCAAAGCGAAAAGGACTAGGTAAGAGTCTGTAAATTATGGGATAAGCAACTATTGATCCACATAGTCAGAAAGAGCACACCGAGATTCACAAAATCCCTAAGTTTGGTGTTAATCAGGCTAGTTTTGACTGAGATACAGCCATTGAAAAACGTCAAAATTAACAAAGAAATGTTTGGTCATCCGGACACACTCCGACACAGCGTCCGGATGGCCATACATTTCTTTGTAAATTTTGACATTTTTAAATGGCCGTATCTTGCTTACTGTTGGGTCTATTTACACTAAACCCGGGGATTTTGTAAAGCTTGATCTGCACTTTATGACTATGTGGATCAATAGTTGCTAATCCCATAATTTACAGACTCGCACCTAGTCCTTTTCGGTTTGAAATCAGGCATTAGTTGCAGGCTAATTCCAGTCCTATACCGAGAGTACGAATATGGTCTTTTGCGAGGAATTAGGAACAATACAATCAAAATTGCCTTATTTTTCCTCTCAGAAGTTTTGTTTGTAGTTAAAACCAGGACTTAAAACGCGTTTAGAGTGTGTAACCTTTTTATGACATTTGAGATAGGTTTGTACTGATTTTAAACTCTCTCACCGAAGCCAATCGAATCTGCACATGCCCGTTGTTGTAGCACAGCTACATTATAACTCGACCTTTATTTTGTCGGTGTTATATTAACGTTTCGTTGTATCATCAGTTTTACAAGTTGTAAACATAAAAACTAATTACTGCGTCCCTTCTCTACAACTCACCTCAGGACAATGTCTAAAGAGAAATAATGACATTCCCAGAGTTAGAGATTTTGTGGAGGAAAACGCGGCATTTAGATGAAGTCTAAACCGATTGGAACATAGTTAATATAGGAAAATGGTTAGGAGGGCCGGTAAACATCAAAGAAGCAAACAAACAGGTTAAGATTTACGTTGGAAGGCCCTTGACCCTGCAGGTCTTTTGTTTTATGCTCATTGACTATGCATGAATTACATAATCGCAGTGCTTCTATTGATTAGTTGCATGAGCACACGTAACCACCTTTTGTATTTTGCCAGGTTTTGTGCAGGGTCAACCCCAAAATAGCCAACAAAAAGATACAACAAAGAACTTTGCCAAGTTTCCTAACCATCTCCCTCAATTAACTATGTTGGAGCTACAACGTGATTTAAGAAAACGTTCCTCAGTCTGAACAAGCTGAAGTTGCTTTTGAATTAGTGATGTTCTTTGTAGGTCACTATTATTAAAAATAGAACGGGATAGTTTATTTTCAAAGTAACTCTAAGCGGCTCAAATTCCGCAATAAACCAAGTTTTTTTCCCAAACTGTGTCTCTTTTTCATTCTCCCTATAGAGATAAAGCTTTAGCGTGTAACCGAGGGGAGATCAACCCCAGCGTACAAAAGGTGGGGGCTAGGACAAAACGTTTCGGATTTTTTGTGATAGCGAACTTACGAAAGCATTCACCATAGGCAATGAGGAGGAATGTTCAGCTCCTATGGAGGATTGCACGGGAGGAATGTCAATAAAAACTGTAACTACGGCCGAATATACACAGGTGATTATTAGAGACTTACAGAGTGCTTATAAGAACAATGCTCAACAGAGCTTACCACCTATCCTCCACTTGGGAGTACTTCTTCAGCGAATGCGCACGTTTGAAAGATCTTTTCCTCAAACTACAATACTCTGCACATCTTGTTGACTCCATTTCACGGTTTTTGACCTCGGTGACAAATGCTACTGAAAGCAAAAAAAAATCACGCTAACAGTCGTATTGACAGTACTAGAATTGTACTACCGTTTAAAGATAAAAAAAAAAATAGACAACTACGAGGTTTGAGCAAAAAAATAGGAAAAACATTACAGCCGGTATTCACGAGCAGAAAAATTGAGGACGATGGGAAGATGCGCGAGGGAAAGCCTCCGCTAATCAACCAGCAAAGCGTTGTGTATTTATTCCAGTGTGGCTTGTACGATGTAAGCTATGTCGGCTACACTCACCGGCACCTATTTCAACGTGTTGCCGAACATCAGAGCTCAGCCGGAATCGGAAACCACATCAAGAAGGAACACGAGGCATGGAACCTCAAAGACCATTTTACCATCTTAAAGAAATGCAGGAGTAAACTTGACAGCCTGACATATGAAGTGTTATAGATCAGGGATCTTAAGCGAGCAATCAATACTCAGTCAGACTCAATCAGAACAAAATTGTTTGTTTAATTGACATAGTTTCATAATAGTCAGTTTTTCCTGTGTTTTTTTTTTTGCCACCTTATGCGCATAATTGTTGATCTATTTATAACGCAAGAACTAACCTTCACATTTACTTGACAATGACATCCGACGATGTCGAAACGTCGTTTATTTATTTCGCTACTCTTTAGTTTAAATGACTAAACTGTCCTTTGGAATTGCAAAAACTAGTTGCATTTAAAAAGGAAATATGTGATCCCAAATGGGAAAATATATGACACCGAACACAAAAATGATCAGCAAAAGTGTGGTGGTAGAATGTTGTTAGTAGAAATGTACTCGAAAAAGAAAGCTGTGTGTGTCGATCTTTACCTGTGTGTGTTGTTCCCTGCGTAGCACGTAAAGCCCCGGCCGGAACTTAACGCAACATCCGCAAATGTTGCATAAACAATTTGACCATTTTCAAACTTGAAGTCCTGGCCAAACGATCGCAACATATCAACACAACAACACAACATTGCTGGGCCAGCATTTGCAAGCTCCGGCCAAACGATCGCAACAAAAGCCCATTAATTGGGGGTTTCCTATTTCTGCTCGAGGTGTCTTGAGTTTCTGCCCTGATTTCCATTACCCTTATTTTCTTCTTCGTCTATAATGAATTCAAAATTATCCTCAATTTCAAAGTCAAACCTTCCAAACAGCCGCGTCTTTTCAATTTTTAAACAATGCTGAAATAAACAGTCTTCCTACCGGTGTGCTCGGCAACGAGAAAAGCACAAACGTTTTCTACAAACGTAACAAATTATAGTTTGACCGACTAAAAGCAAAATATTGGAACAGTTTCAAAAACTGGTTTCCTATTACAACGTTTTTTTTTCGCATGACAAAGTGTTAGCTCTCTCTAGCATAACATGCACGAGACACAGCGAGCGCCACCCAAGCTCGTCAAGATATTACAACATCCCTAATTGACTTTTCCCAAAGGGGCTTTTCAAATATTGCTGTCCTTGTTAATTTAGTTTTTCAAGCTCAAAGGCCTTTTAAAATGCTTACAGGTTTTTTCCAAGCCCATATTTTTTCTTAATACGGACCCCTAAGATGGACCGCACACGAATTCGTTTCAGCGAATTACCGAAAAAAAAAATGTTAAAAGAAGAAATATTTTTTCCCTAATACTTGGCGGATAATTTGAGTTTAAGTTTCAAGAAAGCGACCTCCTATCATTTATAATAAAGACTTTATTAAAGTATATTTTTTGTGAGCCAATATAAAGATGGTTTGTCCATCTAAACGAGCCATTTTCAACGCCGCGAAAATATTTTCGTTTGAAACATTTTGAAATAGACCGACCGAAAATTTCAATTAAGAAATAAAAAAACATATAAAGTTTTGAACGACATAGATCTTATCTCATTTTCTCTTGCTATCTCGTGATTTTTCAGTAGCCATTTGTGAACTAAATGTAGTAGGAAAAGTGTCGATGTAAAGGTATGTTTGTGCAGTACAGATAATTAGTGACCTAGATACATAACCAGAGTAAGTTTCAGATGGTTACACTAGTTTCTGTCCGCCACTTTGGTGTACCCCGGACTGTTACACCAGTATGACAGGAATATGGCGGCTCCATACAGGGCTCTGTAAATTTGTGCGAAACATTTCGACAAATATCTGAAGTTTGGGGTAACGCGCATACCTTGAACCTGGAGAAGTGTCTTCTTTCTTTATTTTCTCTAAGATCGCATTTTCTTGACTTCATCCACCTCGTGGTTTTTGATTTATTTTTTATTGCGTGACAGTGAAAACGATCTATAACGACAATCCCTGTACATTTGGTAATATTATGTAGGGGGTTGAAGCTCTCGGAGCAGAGGTACTCCAACGTCGCCAGAACAACAACAGAATGGTTTACATTTTTATTTATTGCGTCAGTGTATACTTTCCTTTACTCACATCAATTCTATGTATCGAGGACTTGTTCTGTCCCTTCTAGTTCACACTTTCAGTCTTAAGCTCTATTTCTCTTTCTTCTTCTAAATTCTTATTTTCAAAGCTAGCCTCCTTTTGTTATTCCCCAGTCTTCAAAAGTCCTTGTCTTGCATGACATTGGTTTAAGACCATCTTTATATACTTGGCCTTGTGAAAGTGCAACACAGACTTGACAATACAATAGATACTTTGGCTTCCAGAAGTCTCCAATAACAGTTCCAGCGATATTCCCATAACCTTTCCATTTCCATTCTAGATATTTGCTATACTTATTTTCATTATTACTAAGACGCTTCAGGTAATCAGCCAGATGTTTTGGGCTCTTGAAATCACGCACTTTGATAACGGAATGTTTAAGATTTCCTGGAAGGAACTCATTTAGTTGATCTGTACTCATCACAACGGGAACCGAGCCTGCATTCCATGCATGGGTTAGTTGATCATCGACAAAGTAATCACAGTCCTGATTAAAAAATACCAAGGTAAACTTGTAGTTTCTGGCCAGTTCAGTTTTGCGTTGTTTAAACATGAAGGTCGTGCCGTTTCCTTTAAAATACTTCGCTTCCAGGCCCTTAGCGTTCTTAAGACAGGCTCCATAAGAATCGACCTGCACAAACTTCATCAACTGTCTCATGTATTCTGTACGCACAGGCTCACAATGTGTGAATGCTGCCATGATGAGCCCAGTTTTATCTTTAAAAGGAATCGGCGGTGTTAGCTCGGGCAACAAAATAGAAGGATCAGGAAAGTCTGAATCCAAGCGATAGCTTTTTAATACGTTGAATTTAGACATAAAAGAGGCGTTGGTTAAACAGGGTGTGTACACCGGATTTTCTCGTGTTTGTAGAATCCACGGCACAGATTCTATAGGAGGAAGCATGTGTGGATCTCTAGCATGGACGACAAAAGCGTCTGCCTTATCTGCTCGAGATATATCGCTTGTTACCTCACATGGTACTGGGCATTTATCCTTCTTCCAACTTTTTCGAAGATGTGTACCCTTTCCAAAAAATGTTGACCAGTAAATGATGAGCCAAGACTTCGTGGGGCTATGTAATGTGTAATTCACTTTTCGTCTTTGTGGATTCTTCATGGCAGGTTTGTAGATGGAAATATTGCGATTTGAAAGGTTGTTGTTCTGCAATTGCCATAATAGCACCAGGATAACAAACATGACGGAAAGTAAAAACTTGAAACCGAAGGAATTAGTTTTCATTTTGTAGTGTTTAATGTCTTCGCATCTACCTGTTAAAAAAATACGTTGTTATAAGTAACAGAGGGAATTCAACTCACATGGGTATAGAACCTGCTGACGGTGATCTCAATAGAATGACATCACTGATTAAGATATGTATCCGGTTGAATAATAATAATAATAATAATAATAATAATAATAATAATAATACTAATAATAATAATTTATTTCTAGCGCATTACATTAAAAAATCTCAATGCTCTTACAGAATAAAAATGAGAGAACAATAACGAAACCAATATAAGGAAAATATGTTAAATTACAATGGATGATAAAATACTAAAAATGTCTGAGGCGTTCAGTGCAGCACATTACTGAGAATGCAAGGGCCATTTTTAGGCAACGAGCCGTGAAGGAGATATATATTAACCCTTTGACTGCCAACGGCGCATATACGCGTACGGAGTGGTCGTGCTCTTTGTACCAATTGTGACGTCATCAATTTAAATGTCGCCAGCTATTCTTGATAAGCAGATAGTAGAGCTAGGATAGATCTATCCGCACAACGGGCGGTTTTAGATATCGACTGCATTCTGACGTAGCAAATTGAAAAACGACGTTATCAGTTTTGGTAAAAAATGGTGGCAAAATGGCCCAATATACCTATGTTTGATCAGGGTCCCATTTTCAGGCTTTGTACATAATCAACACCCAACTTTTATGAAACGCCTTTTTACTCTCGCTACCTTTTGCGTTTGATAAAAGGTAACTCTCGCTACCTGTTATGAAACGCAAAAGGTAGCGAGAGCAAAAGAGCCGAGAAAAAGGAGAGGAAAGGGGCAAGAAAAAAATTCGCAAAATAAAAAAAGGCAAATTCTAGCTTATGCGCGTGCGCCAAATTAAAATATTGTACATTTTCGTACCTAATCTTGGGGAAATCTATCTTTTGGTAAAAAAAAGCAATAGCTTTTTCAGCAAAACTGAGGCCCATTTAGCGACATGGCAGACATTCCAAAAAGAAAAACGCCGTTCTTCTTTACTTTGAAAAGCCTTTCAAATAAGCAGCAATTATTTTTTACTTTATAGGCACTTTAAAAACGGCATTTTTTTGTGAAAATTTGGCAGTCTAAGGGTTAACAGAGATGTGCGTAGGTATTGTAGAGGAGTGAACGGACCGCCCAACCATCCGGGTGCTATCGAGCTTACATAGAAAAAGAACAAAGTTTTCGCTGCGAAACAATTAGGAAGCACCTACCGTCAAACCAGTCAAACTAGTTTCTGAGAACCGTTGAATTCAATGATTCCTCATAGCGGACACAACTTGTTAGAAAATCGGGCAAACTGGTTTTAATTTATTTTATTATCAGGAGATAAACTAGAAGCGGATAACCTCTTTTATCTCCTTTTCGCTTTCCTATGGGTTTGTGAATAAACAGTTATTATTATTATAAGGAATTAGTTTAAACATAACGGAAAATAAAATCAGTTGAACGACTAATTGCTGCATTCAAAGGAAATACCAAACAAAAATTTTCATGTAAATGGAACAGAGTAATAAGCAATTACTCAATACGTTCAAACAATGCTCAAGACACTGTTTTCCAAATCGCTCTTACTAATTAAAAGTTTCTCCATATACTCGAATGCTGCCCGTTATAATACTCTGAGTTATTGAGAGCTACTCCGATTTGAAATCGCTCTGAGTATTAAAATGCTACTACGGTTAAATAATTAGATACTGCTCGTTAAGGTGGCCGAACACAGTTTTCAAGAGCCTATGCCTAATTCACCATTACTTTTAAGCTATTTATGCTTTGGCGCTCGTTTTTT